TAACAGTTCTCAGGAATATTAATATAGACCACACCTCCATCTATACACTCTTTACCTTGAAATCTCATGGTTTCTATGAATGTTGTCAGGAAATAACCCAGAGGCATTTTCTGCATGCCGCCCTGCCTCAGTTCCTTTCAGTGCAGATGAAGTGTCTCTGCTTCCCTCCAGGTATTAGGAAGAACTTCATTTCTTTAGGCAGACAGGGATTAAGTACAGTCAGGTTTAGGATTCCTACAAAGATCATCTAGAACTCAAGAAATGACTTCATGCTTAAGAGAGTTTACTGCTCTTTCAAAAGACCTGTGTTGGCATGTCAGGTGGGAACACGTTAGGCAGCTCACAGCCTCCTCTAACACTAGATCCAGGGGAATACAACGCCCTCTCCTGGCCATTGAGACGAACTGCACTCATGCGCACATACCCCTGTATAGACACATATGAATAAATACACATAATTAAGAATAAAAGAAAATCTTTAAAAAAAGACCATCTACTTTTTTTTTCTTATTCACATTTGCAGAGAAAAATTTGTTTCGGACACATTAAAGGAAAACTCCAGTCTTGATATTTAGGAAAAAAAAAAGAGTTCATTCCTTCATCCTTCCAAACAAGGTACAATACAACTGAGTAACAATACACATTTCTGAGAAACACAACAGTATCTTATATTCCTTACTACTCTTTAAGTATAATTCAGATATTAAGAATAAAAGGTTCTAATCATATTAATACATTACAGAAACCAAAATTAACTTACCACATAAAATAAATTAAAACATTACATATTAACCTTCAGTGCATCATATACAGAAGTCAGAATGATGAGTTCTAAAAACAGCATCAGGTTCCTTATAATAAAGTTATTACGCTATGGAGAGGAGTTGCTTCTCAGTACTGCGTGTGTATATTCATGTGTACACATGTATGTACAACACTATGTCTTTGAGACAGATCAATGGCTTCAGGGAATAAATCTTACACTAGAACATTAAAAACAAACATAATCCAGGTGTGGTGGCATACACCTATAACCCAGGAGGCTGAGGCAGAGGAATCATGGGTTCAAGGCTAGCCTGGGCTATAGAGTAAAACCCTGTGTCAAAAATGTATGTGATGTTTAATATGACTTCTCCTTGGTCCTGGGAGAGACAAGCTTAGAACTCACCACAGGACAGGACCTGCAGGCAGTGTTAGAATGTTGCTGGTCCATCCAGTGTCTCACAGGCACTAGGAAACCTGGGCTGGGGACCCCAGGTGGCTTTCTGTACTTGAAGGGAACAGGCCACCATCTAAGCCTCAGCCACAGCTTCCTCTCTCACCAGTGTGAGTGTTTAGGACCAACCCTGCCTCTTTACCCTTTTTTTTTGGGGGGGGGGGAAGGGACCTTGGGACTATTGTTCCCATCTTTTTTTTCTGGGACCCATGACAAACTGACTCATGACTTGGTTCTGTGTCTGTCCACTCGGAATTTGTCTTTTGGGTTGGAGTCTTCATTGTGTTTTTCCATGGAGAAAATGTGTTCCATGGTGTGTTTAAAGTTAAAACTAGAGGTGTGGAGGCCTTTCTAAAATTCATTTTTATTTTTAAAAATGAGAGAGAGAGAGAGAGAGAGAGAGAGAGAGAGAGAGAGAGAGAGAGAGAGGCAAGACCAATTCTCTCCTTCCACCATGTGGGTCCCAAGGATTGAACTCAGGTCCTCAGGGTTGTTGGTAAGTGCTTTTACCCTTGGAGCCATCTCAATGTCCCTAGAATTAATTTTAATTCATTCAGTGGGGATGTTCATCGTCCCCTGAGTCACTGGAACAGCTGTGCTGTCCACTGTCCTGTGTGGCTGCTGAGGAGTTCTCCTTATTTAGAGCTGTATTGAACATCAAGAGAGGCCAGGAAGTACAGTGTGAACTGACAGGAGCATGCTGTAGGGAGAGCAGTATGAACTGACAGGAGGGTACTGTAGGGAGAGCAGTGTGAACTGACAGGAGCATGCTGTAGGGAGAGCAGTGTGAACTGACAGGAGGGTCCTGTAGGGAGAGCAGTGTGAACTGACAGGAGGGCACTGTAGGGAGAGCAGTGTGAACTGACAGGAGCATGCTGTAGGGAGAGCAGTGTGAACTGACAGAAGGGCACTGTAGGGAGAGCAGTGTGAACTGACAGGAGGGCACTGTAGGGAGAGCAGTGTGAACTGACAGGAGGGCGCTGTAGGGAGAGCAGTGTGAACTGACAGGAGGATGCTGTGGGAGAGCAGTGTGAACTGGCAGGAGGATGCTGTGGAAGAGCAGTGTGAACTGACAGGAGGATGCTGTAGGGAGAGCAGTGTGAACTGACAGGAGGGTCCTGTAGGGAGAGCAGTGTGAACTGACAGGAGCATGCTGTAGGGAGAGCAGTATGAACTGACAGGAGGGTACTGTAGGGAGAGCAGTGTGAACTGACAGGAGGGCACTGTAGGGAGAGCAGTGTGAACTGACAGGAGGGCACTGTAGGGAGAGCAGTGTGAACTGACAGGAGGGTGCTGTAGGGAGAGCAGTGTGAACTGACAGGAGGATGCTGTGGGAGAGCAGTGTGAACTGGCAGGAGGATGCTGTGGAAGAGCAGTGTGAACTGACAGGAGGATGCTGTAGGGAGAGCAGTGTGAACTGGCAGGAGGATGCTGTGGGAGAGCAGTGTGAACTGACAGGAGGATGCTGTAAGGAGAGCAGTGTTAACTGACAGGAGGGCGCTGGTACAGCTAACCAGGGCTATCTCTGCTGTGAGATGGCCCAGGAAGGAAAACAGCATTTGTCTGACTTCCAAAACCAAAGTCACTAAAAAACAGGGCTGTCATATGCTGGGGCAGGGATGATGTGCAACCAGACTTGTCTCAACCTAGCCTCAGCTGCTGACTCTGCAGACCCACTGCTTTGCAAAAGGCCTGACTGGGAAGGCACTTCTAGGGGGCATTTGAGTACAGGCACCGGGAGGGCTACTGGCTGCACTTGAGAACTGCAATGTTCAGATCCCAAGCTGAAGTGCTCCCCACGATCCTCTGCTTCCATGGGTTCGTCCTAATTTTTCCACACCTCTGCTGAGTCTTGGATGACAATTCCTGGTAACTTCTTTAGGATGGGACATCAGTAAAGAGATTCCCATTAATACTTCGATACCAGTTCAAACTCTTTAAAAGAAGTCAGACATCCAGGAGCCTCCAGCAGACCAGAAAAGAGCTGTCGTCTGAATATAACAGTGTGAACTGAATTAAAACAAGCCCTCTATTTGTGTTGGTCCCCATGAGCCAGGACTTCAGGCAAGGTCTGCTGAGAACGCTGGGGGCCAATAGAGGTCTAAAGCCCAGTGCAGTTGATTGGTCTCTGAGCAGCAGGCTACACTCGGCCTTGACCCACATGGATGACCCAAGGAATGCAAACTTAACATATTTTCTTTAAAAATCGAAAAACTCTGCGGGGCATGGTGGTACACACCCGTAAGCCCAGAACTCAGGAGGCCGGAGCAGGAAGACCTCAAGTTCAAGTCTACCCTGGGCTACACAGCAAGACCTTGTCTCACACAAAGAAACAAAATACCAAACCAAAATAATAATAATAATAATAAAATAACAAAATGCTGCCTTCTGCCTGGAGCCGCGTCAGCTGTGGAGTTAGAGGACTGAACAGACCCAGTTTCTTCTTTGGGGCTCCAGGCAATGTGAACAAAGAGTGCCAGGTGAAGACCTGGGGCAGATCAGTGCCTCGATCATATGAGAAGAGAAAAAAATCCATAGAAAAAGGTGGAATGGAGAAGAAGAACGAGGAACAGGCAAAACTTGCTGATAGAAAATAAACCGACTTGGTATGTCCAATGCCCCTCTTCCAGGGCGTTGTTAAAGACTCTGGAGGGCTGACAGGGGCAGGCTTTACACTTTGGAATTAGAGAATGGCCTCCTCAATAAGCAGCTTTATGTAGTTACTGTCCTTCTGTCTCTAGACAGTACCGAGCAACCCAGGGGTGGGGGTGGGCCCCATGGGTCAGAGCACCCTCGGGTGCTCAGGGAACACGTCTCCTTCTCCAGAGGGCAGTGGAGAGGCTTGGTAACAATTTTGTTAATAATGCCAACATTCTGAAAGGGAACAAAACAAAACAAAAAACAACCGTGGGATATTTATCCTAATGCTTGAAAATAAATAGGGAAGCTAAATTTCTCCTAAAAATGAAGCAAAAACCAAGGCAACAGCATGAAAAACAAAGGGCTGGCCCCCTTCGTGGATTTGGCCCACAGCTCACTGCTAATGCTGGAGCTCACGAGGAAGTTAATCCACTTAATCAAGTGTTGGTATGTGCGTCCGTCCCTAGGTGTCCACATAGGCTCTCTTGTGTTCTTGTTCCCATCGGGGTGACTCTCTCTGTCATTGGCCTTGCTAACTTTGCTACAGTGTGTATCTGAGGGACGTTCCTGCTTTGTATCTTAGAGGGCATAACCTCCAAATAGCAGATTTGCTCCCATCAGAATGCACTTTTGAATGCTGTCTCTACAGCCCCCAGGAGGCCGCTCTCTGAGGTCCTGCTTTATCAAAGTGGCTGGACATCTGTAGCTGGTGTAACTTCACAGCCAGCCACTAATGTATCATTAATGTGGATGCCTGACATTGACTTACGAGATTACAAATAAAACCGTTATCCATCTAATAAATAAGACACACATCCTGGCAACAGCTTGAGAAGATGTCAAGGCTCATAGGAGGCCACACTGTCTTCATACAACAAGAGACGTTTTCCCCTTGTCCATTGTGTACACCAAGCATGGAGTCTCTGCTGGGACCAGATGGCCCATTGAGAAGAAACAGCCTGGAATCCATGGCCGGCAGGAGACACCAACCCAAGCACATGCCTGGTGTGGGTTAGCAAGAAGGCCAGCTCTTTGAGGTTCTTGTTCAACTTGTCTGAAAACATGGTCTACTGGCCTCTTCTCTAGGGTGCGCTGAGGAAACCCAGCAGGCAGAGTTATCACACAGTTTTGAAGGCCTGCGGAGGACAGAAGCCTGCACAGGCGATTGTGCGCTGAGGGGAAGGTCCCAGGTGCCTGGGCACTGCCGGTGGTGGTGTCCCAAGAAGCTTTTCCATCGGTGGGCCGCCGTAGGCCACCTGGCCAAATTCCTCCTCTGGGATCCTCAGACCACTGGCAGAAAAGAAAAATAGGGTGAACAACGTGGGCCCGAGCCATGCTGGCGAGACAAGCTTGGAACAGAGGCTTTGAGGCAACATCATCCACGCCACTGGCTTCTCTCAGCAGCCAGGCCCAGTTCTAGGCCAGCTTCAAGGGCATCAACTTCTGGAACTACGCTTTCAGGACGGACAGCACATGAATTACAGTAGAGGGGGTGGGGTTTTGTGACAGAGAAAGGTGAGTTAGGGCATCGAGGAGGTTGGGGGAGATACGTCTGTCAGGAGGGTTGCAGTTCAGCGGAACCCGTGGCCAGTTCCCCTGTCAGGAGTGGTGTGGGAAAACAGCCCCGCACTTCCCTCCTGTTTTGTCTCCTCTGTGCCAACTTGGAAAATGGTGGCCGTTTCCTCCACCCGCCAGTATCTATCTCCCCGGGAAGAAAAGGGCGGAAGCCGCCCTGTACCTGTCTCAGAGTGGCAGCAAGCGGTCCTTCCCTTCAGGAGGGCGCTGGGCTTCTCGTGTCTGCAGACGAGGGCACGGCACCACTCACAGTGTTTGCGGACGTGGCAGCAGCTGGTGACAGAAGGGACAGCTGAGCTGCCCCTGCTTGGCAGGAGAGCCCAGCTTGGGTAGCCCTGGGTGCCCACTCAGCCTTTCAGACCATCCGCCACCTCGGGACCCCGAGGACCTGGATGGTCACTGACCAGCCTCAGAGAACCTGTTGGCTGCTGCCGAGTGTCAGCACTGTTGCTGTAGCACAGCTCCAGACTCCCTGGGTCACCTGGCTCCAGACTCCCTAGCTGGCTGAGGGGACAGGCCAGCCACCTGCTGCTTGCTGTCTCCACAAAGGGCCAACTGAGAAGTTCTGCCAGTGTAGCAATGGCCTTAGAACAGACATGAGGACTAGGACCAGCAGACCCTGGGGTTGGAGGCCATGATGCTCTAGGAGGTGGCCAAGTCCCTGAGCGTCATTGGACTTGTGCCTCAGATGTCCTAACAGCAGCAACTCAGAAGGACAGTGTCTCTTATTGGTCTGTGCGTCACCTGGCCAGCCTTGGAGGACAAAAGCCTGGCACGGCTTTCATACCAAGCCTCATCCAAATAGCCATTGTGCCCTCTGCAACCCCAGCCTTGAGTCAACCTGAGCTGTGCTGAAGGCTGCCTTCAACTGAAAAATGCCCTGTGCCAATTCAAACTAGGTAGGAATCCTCTGAGCCCTTTGCCTGGCACTAAGCCATTCCAGGGATATAAGTCTGGCTTGATGTCGGCTGCTGGGAATACAGCACTGTGTATCTAGGGCTCTGGCTGGACCGGCCAGGCCAGTGGGCAGCTATGGGCAAGCGAATAGGAAAAGACACTCGTGTAGTCTCCCTCGACCTGGGGCTCAGCACAGCTTCCTGGAGGATGCAGTTTAGAGGATGAGAGGTGGTGGTGGAGAAAGAGGGGGGCCATTGAGGGTAACGACACCAGTGTACAGTAACTGCATCGGGAGCCTCTGATGTAACTTTAGAATTTGTCAAATGCTTTCTGCGGGGAGGAAGCACTTTTGCTGTGGACCAAGGGCATCGGGAGCTGTTTCCAGCTCTCTCTGGAGCCTCTGCCCAGCTCATAAGTTTTCTGGGTTCAAAGGCAGTAGTAGAGTATGTCTTAGATTTGACATGACTTCTAGAAGAGCCCAGAACCACTGCTGGCAATCACCCATGCTCCAGGTGTTTGCACATATTGCCTGACACTGTGTGGAGAGACATTAACTACCCTCTTCGATCAGCTGATGTCACTCTCAAGTCACAACAATGAGCTGGTGGCCCTTTCATGTGGCCATACTCCAGATGCTCCTGGCAAGGCAGACAGGTGGGGGACCTGAGTTCAGGGGTGGCAAATACTCACTGGATCAGCACACAGGTGATAATCAGGACAGCAAGGGCCACAATGGAGACCACCACCAAGGCAGTGATGGCCTGCTTCTTCTGGCTGGCAGCCACCACGGCCAGGAGGTCTGCATGCTCGCAGCGAGCACCCACGTACCCAGAGTGGCAGCTGTGGGAGAAAGGAATGTTAGTCCGCTTCTGACAGAGGGGCTCGTCCACCCAAGCTGAGCTGGAAGGATCTGGGGCCTGTTGGATAAGCTCCCAAGGGCCGCTGCATCCTCTGTGATTGGAGACACAGGTGTGAGGCAGTGAGTCCCACTTCCCTGTCTTGGTGCTGCTTGCTGAGGGGAGGAGAAACGGATGCCCTCTTCACCAAGGGTGCACTTGTGATCACTGTCCTTATGCCAACTCTTGAGAACTAATAGCAGCGTTGAGGACAAGAACTTCATTTTGATAGGTGATGAAACTCTGTGCATGCCTGTTCATGCTTGTGTGCATGCTGGTGCAGGTGCATGGGTGTGTGCACGTCTGTGGAGGCCAGAAGTCAATGTTTGGGTGTCTTTCTCTATCACCCTCTGCCTTATTTTGGAGACCGTGTCTCTTACTGTATCTGGACTTTACCTATATGGCAAGGCTGGCTGGCTGCCAAGTTCCAAGGATCCTCCGCCCCCCCCCCCCCCCCCCCCCCCCCCGTCTCCTCAGCTATGGGGTTATATAGGTTGCTGCACCAGTTTTTTTCCCCATGGGTGCTGGCAATCTGGACTCAGGTCTTTATAGCCTTGTGGCAAGCATTTTATCAACTGAGCTGTTTCCTTAGTTTCAAATGTAGGTGTTTTAATGTGTTTGCTTGAGACAGGGTCTCTCTATGTAGTCTTGGCTGTCCCAGAACTTGCTATGTAGACCAGGCTGGCTTCAAACTCACAGAGATCCACCTGCCTCTGCCTCCCGAGTGCTGGGATTAAAGGCATGTGTCATCATGCCTAGCCCAAATCCAGGTTATTTTAAAACCAAAATTGCTTATTAGAATTTTGGATGAAAGAAAATACCGTAAGGAGACATGGGCCACTTGCTTTCCTGGCATTCCTCCAAGCATGTGACTTTTTTTTTTTTTTTTTCTGAGACAGGGTTTCTCCGTGTAGCTTTGCGCCTTTCTTGGATCTCACTCTGTAGACCAGGCTGGCCTCCAACTCACAGAGATCCGCCTGGCTCTGCCTCCCGAGTGCTGGGATTAAAGGCGTGCGCCACCACCGCCCAGCTGCATGTGACTAGATGCATAGTCTGAGCTTGGCTTTCCTGTCTTCTTCATCAAGTTTAATTAGCCCCAAGGATAATTTCTGGGTGCCTCAGGCCTGGTGCTGTCACCTGGTTCCATCAGGGCTGGAGAAGCCTCCAGACTCCTGTGAAATCTTGTGTGTTGGCATCCAATGAAACACGTTTGACCTCTGCACCATGAGGAAAGGTATAAACGAGGTCAAGTGTGGACGTGCATGCTGGTGCGTGCATCGCCAGCCCATTCATTACTGCTCTTGCTGCATGCCCAGCTTCTCTGGCTCCGTCCTGCCAAAGCAGCCTCCTGTGTGCACAGGTTGCTCACCAGATGGTTCTTCAGGATGGGCCGACCCGACCGTAAGGAGACATGGGCCACTTGCTTTCCTGGCATTCCTCCAAGCATGTGACTTTTTTTTTTTTTTTTTTTTTTCTGAGACAGGGTTTCTCTGTGTAGCTTTGCGCCTTTCTTGGATCTCACTCTGTAGACCAGGCTGGCCTCCAACTCACAAAGATCCACCTGGCTCTGCCTCCCGAGTGCTGGGATTAAAGGCGTGCGCCACCACCGCCCAGCTGCATGTGACTCTTTTTAACAGAAAAGTGAATGAGGTGACACCCTGGTCCCTTTTTAAAATCCTCAATGTAAATATTGAGTTCCAACCCTCTCGGGCAGGAAGCTTCCTTGAGGAGCAGCCCCATATCACACACTGAATTTAAATGTATATTATACATATTTCTAACCAGGGCTAAGGTAGCAAACATCTTTAAGTCTATACTTGGATTGCCTTGTAACCTGCAGTTGTCAGGTGAAGGGCTTTAAAGGACAAAGAACATAGAAAGGATCCTGGGCTCAATGGCCTCCCTGGAGCACCAGCCACTGTGCCAGGCTGGCTCCAGAGCCGTTCCAGGTGAGACCCCCGAGTCCTGTCTCCTCAGTTGTCAGGCCCAGCTCTCAGAAAGGCATGTTTTCTCAGATCAAGGCTTTTTTTCGAGGACTAAACATCAGCATTTGGATGGTGAAGGGACAGGTGCTGTAAGGATTTAAGGCTAATGACAGCCAGGAGATGCTGAACATTTCTGTAGCAGCTCTCTCTAGCCTGGGATACAGGGTCCGCACCTTTCGATGACTTACCCAGCGGTGGCTATTAGTTGAAGCTCACATACTTTATTGTTGTTTTGAGACAAGGTCTGGCTATGTGGCCTTGGCTAGCTCAAACCTCCTGCCTCAGCTTCAGAATGCTTGGAAGACAGAGGTGCACCGCCAGGCTTGGCTACTTGTTCTTTGGTTGGGGTTATTTTATGTGTAGTGTGTTTCCTCATTTAATCTTGTCGTGAAAAAGTCAAGCCACCCTTTCCCTGCACCTGTTCTGGGGACTTGAAGGACATTTGTACCAAGTCCAAGACTGGGGTCTGGCTCCCCCTCCTTTGCCAGGATGGTAGGCTTATGGTTTAGCATCTTATCTTGAAAAGTAGAAAAGACTGGAGTTTAAGTTGCACGTGGTGTAAAGGGCTTGTATTCTTGGTAAATAAGAAAACTAGGCAGGGCAAACAGGGAAATAAAAGGACGCCCTAAGGATCTAGGTAGACAGGCCGTGTACGCTGACTCTCATGGCTCAGTGCAGTGGGATGGAGACAGGATTTTGTTTAATTCAAAAAGAAAAAAAAAAATAAAAGAAAGAAAGCCTGTGGGGAGGCAGAGAGAGACACAGCTTGCCTGGTAGCCCCTGGCCTTTCCCCTGGTGGCAGATGGGGGGAACAATAGTAAACAGATCCCCCCCAGAGCTGGTTGGTGATTGGCTGTTGGCTTGGGCCACACACAGTCTGAGTTATCCATGACTAGACAACGTTGAACAGGTTCTCTCAGGCCATTCTCAAGTTCTAACTCTGTGCTGATGTCCCTACTTTCCAGAGTCCACCTGAGTCAGAGGCACCCTTTCTGTGATATTGACATCTCTTCCATGCAGGGTCTTAATCTACCCCTCCCTACAACATCCTGCCAGGTCAGGTGGCCCACACGGTCCCTACTAGCCCAGGGGTAGATGTAGGCACAGGTGGCCACACATGGGTGCCTGGACACCTCAAGTAATCCAGTCCCTTACTCTCCCCACTCTGCATTCCACAGACCACATTCTCCAAAAGCCACGTGCTTTCTACACTCACTCATCCATCCCCCTCACCAGCCTGCCCATTGCCCTGTGCCTCACTCAGGGCTTCCCAGACCCTGTCCATCTTTGAACACCTGAACCCACGTGTGCCCACCCTCTTTCCCCAGCCTCTCGCTCCTGCAGGGCAGGCTTTGACCTACAAAATGCCCTGCGTCTCAGTAGTTCTTTATGAGTGGGGAAAAAGACCCAAAGTGACATCTCGTCTCCTCTTTAATTCCTAGTCTTCTAATATTAGACTTAATTATGCCGATTATTTTAAGCACTAGTCACACAAGAAGGGAGGAGTGTCACCTCACCTGGCCACAGATGAGTCACACCCTCACTCTGCTGCTGCCTTTACCTCTGGCAGGTACAGCACAATCACCTGGGAGTTCTAGAAACTGCCAGGTCCAAGGCCATACCCTCAGTCTGGCCACCTGGGTGACTGTAGCATGCATACAGGCCCGAGTAGCACAGAGGTAGGACGGGCTTGGAATCTAGAAGCAAGTTAAAAATGCATTGGTTCCTCCTCTACGTTCCTTACCCCTCCCCCCACCCCCCTTCGGCACTGTCCCAGAGTGATAGCTGCAAGTATACCCCTGTGCCATGCACTGGGCAAGAGGGATAGAGGGGGGCTGCACCTCCCTTTAGGAAAAGAATCCGGACAACATAAGCTTTATTACGAAGGGGGACAGAGTTGTGAGACTGGGGCCTTCCTCGTGGGACCATTTACACACGCAGAACAGGTCTGCCGGGCCCGAGGTGGTTGCTTGTCAGACACACATTTACACACGCAGAGCAGGTCTGCCGGGCCCGAGGTGGTTGCTTGTCAGACAAACACTTCTGCACGGCTCTCTGGCTTCTGTAATTCAGACCCTTTTCAGGTTGCTTCCCCACAATAAGAACAAAGAAAGGAAGAGACGAGCGGGTGGCTGGCTGGGCTGCAGGACTACAGGGCTGCAGGCAGATAAGTGTTGGCTGCCCACACTCTCCTGTGCCTCCGGGGTCGGGGAGCTGGGCTGTGCCTGCTGGTGGGTAAGACTGGCAGCTGCCGAGGAGCTTTTCCTAAAAGCAGTGCCGTGGCTGCAGGCCCCTCTGTTTTAACCGTGGATGACATCTCTCTTTCTCCTCTAAGGATAGCTTTTGGGCCACCCTAAGTTCCTACCACTCCTGGCTCGTAGTGCTCTTTAAAAATGTTGTGAAATATGAAAACCACAGCCATCAATGTTAAGGTTTTCTTTAAGGAAAAATTTCCCCAACTAGAAAAGGAATGCTTTAAGCCCATTGGGAAGTATAGAAAATATAATAAACATAGAAAAGTTCATACTACTGCCATGGCACCAGTGTGTGTGTGTGTGTGTGTGTGTGTGTGTGTGTGTGTGTGTGTGTGTGTGTGTGTGTGTGTGTAAATGACTAAAATTCGTTACATAAATGTGTGAAACTGTAAAAATAGTGAAAGAGAGGGGGGAAGAGAGAGAAAGAAAAACAAACAAATGACAATAACAACAAACACAATAAGAAAAGAAACAGCAAACCAGAATCTCGAGTTCTACCAGACTGAGGAGGTAGCTCAGAGCAAGAGTGCTTGCCTAGTGTGCACGAAGACCCGGGTTCAATTCCCAGCAGCACAGGAAAGAAAACAAAGCAAAACAAAACAGAAAACAAAAATCCTTTGCAAAGCCGCTTCAAGTGGAGCACAGTAATTTCTGCACCTTAGTTTCACCAAATTCTTTCCACCCAGGCGGTGCCTGGTGTGATATGTAACCAAGGCTGGACGTTATCTCTGTACTCCAAGATACTCTGTTTGTATTTCACATTACATCCTCAGGACAGGAGCTCGACTTGGCACAGGCTCTGTAGCCAACTTGGCCTGGATTCAAAGCCCTTCTTCACTTCCTGTCTGTGTGACCTGGAGCCAGTAACTGCTCTTTACCACACACTCTGCATCTTGAAAATGAAGCGCAGGTAAGACCCGCCCCCCAGTTAGAGCACTAAAGGAGCCTTGTGCATCGCGACAAGCGGCGCCAGACCCAAAGGCAGGCTATCTCTGTTAAAGATGGAATTAAATAGCAGGGAATGGGGTGCGGAGACCGCTCAAGTTGGAAGGGGCTTGCCTTGCAGTTTGAGGACCTGAGTTGGTTCCCCCCAATCAAGGTGGTGAGTGCTTGTAATCCCAGCACACAGGCAGATTCCTGGGCTCAGTGTCCAGCTGCCTTAACCTACTTGAGTGAGCTCCAGGCCAGTGAGAGACTCTGTCTCAAAAAATAAAGTGGGGGTTGGGGAGTGGCTTAGGTGGTAAAGTTCTTGCTATGCAGTCAGGAGGATCGTGTTTGGGCCCCCAGAACTCACATGAAGCTGGGCCTTGAGTATGCGTGTGATCCCAGTGCTGGGAAGGTATAGACAGGTGCCTCACTGGACTTGTCTAAACAACTTGTCCAACTACAAGGCCAGTGAGAGATGGTTCAGTTGTTAAGGGCACTTGCTGCTCTTACAGAGGACCCAAGTTCATTTCCCAGCACCCACACAGCTCCTCACAACTGCCTGTAACTCCAGCTCCAGGGGATTCAACACCTTTGAGAGCATCCATAGCACACAAGGCACACACACACACACACACACACACACACACACAATCATACATAAAAGTAATCTTGAACAACAACAAAAATCCCAACCCACCAAGGTGGGCAGAATCTGGAGAACAATGCTGAGGTTGACCTTTGACTTCCATATACACATGCACACATGAACTTGAACCTGCCTTGCCTATACATGTGCGTCACACACACACACACACACACACACACACGCACGCACGCACGCACGCACTCACTCACACACGCACGCACTTGCACATACACTCACAAAGGGGACATTTTTAGGACTCTTTAGCCACATGGTCTCTATATGCTGTGATGTGCTCTTTGGCAGGCGGCCGCTAGTGACTCTCTGAGTCCCTCAGCACCGGGCTCAAGGCAGGCATTGGAGCCTGAGGGTTGAGAACCAGGGTGAAACTGTCTCTGAACACACTTTGTATCAGCTTGTACTTAACCTGCACCACCCACAGGGCTGGGCTGGGAGTGGATTCCCTAGGACTGGTGGAAGGAGGACTGAGTTCACCTTCTCTTGCTCTCTGGAGAAATGGATTCAGGGCTGGGTGTGGTTCAGTGCCAGAGCACTTGCTTAGCGTGTGTGGGGCCCTGGGTTCCATCCCTAACAACAAAAAGGACTGGGTTCACCTGGTCCTGTTCTTTCTTCCATGGGGCTGGGAGGTCAAAGCTTCTTCCTCTTCAGCTCAGAGTCAAGAGTCTCTTGGGACGCCTTCGCTGTCCCTGAGCCAGGGGGAAGGTGATGCCGGTGCAAATCTCTCTGGCAAACCTTGTCTGCTCATGCTGTGCTGAGAGCAGCGTCTGGGCAGGCTCCTAGAGCTTTTCAGTGGTGACTACAGAATTCACCTCCTGCCACCTCCAAGTGTTCAGAGCTTAAAAGGTGGTCATAGACCAGAAAACTAAACCCTATTTAATTAAATCAATAAATGTGAATAGCTGCGTGTGTCCAGGGACACAGCAGGAATTGCCAGAGTCCTATGCATTTTTGAAGTATTGGTCCTTGAGGGGAGTCTGAGGTTAAATGAGGCCAGGCCACTTGTATGGGACACTCATCTGGATTTGAACTCAGGTCTATCTGACCCCCAGATCCAGAGCGACCCTTACTGTCTGCTTTGGGTGGAGGTGGGGAGAGAATAAACCCAAGGCATGGTTCTCTCCAGTCCTGTCGTGGGGTGATGTCGTGCTACCCACCCCCACTGGCGTTCAGAGGCTAATAATGGAACTGCCCGAGGGGGCTCCTATGCCAAGAGCAAGTCCCCCTCCTGGATCTGATCTCTTGTGACTGCAGGGTTGTCTGCCTGTGCTGGAATGGCACCTGGGGTCCACTCTCTCTCGGTGTTTGACTATTCAGACTCACTGCTGCGCACTGTGGCCAGAGTGGCCAGGGAGGGCCGAGAGATGGGGAATGTTTTCTTTGACTGACAGAGATGTGTTTCTCCGGGGTCTCTGTTAGTCACCAGGAACATTCAGGGCAGCTGGGAAACTTCAGTCTCCTGTGGTTCCTCACACTGTCCACCTGTGTGGATTCTGCCTCCTTCAGGCAGCAGACCCACCACCTGCCCATGCCACCTTGGTAAAAGGGCAGGCGGCCCCTGGCCTTACATCTCCACAGTTTTCTGTTTCCGCTTATCTTCCTGACGTTCATCTGAAGCAAACACGTTTGAGAATAATTTTCACAATGTCTGACTAGTATTTTTTTTCATTCTCTAGTTTTAGAGTATGAAATGTCACTTCAGATTTTCTGAAAACCTAATGACTTTTTTCTTCTGGGAGAGCCTGCTAAGAAGCAGTACCCACCGCTGTACTACATTCTCAACCTGCTGGGGTTTCTTTACGAGGCCCTGACAGATGGGGCCCTACCTCAAGGTATGTCAGTTTTATTGACCAGAATGTTGAGTGTGTCAGCTCCTCAAAGCTGGGAGGTTCTTCAGAGCAGGGACAGAATGTTCTGGCTTTCTCTGTAGAGACTCAGAGTTTCTGGTCTGGTGGGAATTAGGTAGCTAGAACATTCTTCTAGTTACTATAAATGTAAAAAAGGTGCAAGGTGTGGTCCTGTCTCCTAGAGCTGATGCACCAGAAGGGGTAGGAAAGCAAACCTCACCAGGTCTCCAGGCCCGACAACTTGCCTTGTTCAGACACACTAGCTCTGTGTCCCCAGAGTGTTGTGCAGAGGACAGGGAACGGCCCTCATGTCCTCCACAGTCTCTGTTGCTAACGGGACATTCTGAGGATTAAAGGCCAATCACTCACAACACTCAGGGGCCGTTGAATGGCTGGAGAGATCCAGTGGGTTGACCGTATGCTAACAGAGATGGTGGCAGGTGACAGACACCAACATTCTGCTTTGGTGTCAGGCAACACTCAGGAAAGGTGGGAACCAGAGAGCTGGAGAGGACAGCCAGGGCTGGGTGATGTGTGAGTCTACCCACAGGAGGTCAGGCCAGCACTGCGTCTTTTGTTGAGTCAAGAGAAGAAGCTGACCACCTGCTGGGAAGTGTGAAGTCCAACTTCTAAGATGCACACAAGGACTTAGAGCCACCAGAGAAGAACACACACTGTCACCTGTCATAGTAACACGTCTGCAGCCTGAATCCTGCCCCTGGGCCACCAAGATCCAGTAGGGAAACAGAGAAGAAGGTGGTCACTGTTTTCCATGGCCTTGGCTTTCCCAGGTTGGCAGAATGTCCTATTCTCAGTCCTTGGCCCTGAAGAAGGCTTGTAAAGAGTCCATAGGACCAACCCTGACCTTTCTCTGGAGGATGGTTCACATGCCAGAGGAAAATGACCAGACCTTTCTTGGAAATAGGAGAGCTTGATGACTTGAGGTGAATTTTGTGACAGACCCATCTATGTCCATCTTGTCACAGTCACCCAGACATATTGCAGAAAGCAAATAGGTCTTTCTGCACTTACATGGCTCTCACTGCCCAGAGGGTAAGGGCTCACTCCTAACAGGCCCTGGCCTCTGACTGCATCTTCTGCCTCCCTGCTGTGGGCTCTGACCTGCAGTAGCCCCTGGAACCCTGGGTCTGGATACGTTTCTGCTTGTCCACTGGTCAGCCCCACATCTGCTGAGTGGCTTTCTTCCAGGGCCTTTCTCCTCTAACTCCACTGTCCATGGCAATTACCATGGCTGTGTGTGTGTGTGTGTGTGTGTGTGTGTGTGTGTGTGTGTGTGCGTGTGTGTGTGTGTGTGTGTGTGTGTATGCCATGACACACATGTGGAGATCTGAGGATGACCTTGAGTGTTGGTCCCTGTCAGACATGCACCCTACTGCATCTGGTTTTTTATGTGGGTTCTGGGGATCTGAACTCAGGTCACCAGGCTTAAGCGGCAAGTGCCCCACCCTCTGAATCGTCCCCCAGTCCTTGTTGTTGGCTTATAGCTAATGTGTTGAGGAGGTTCAGCACCTGCATGGCACTTGGCAGTACTTTGTGAGGCTCCAGGGACATGGGAGCCACCAAGGTGTGACATGTGTGCAGACCCTTTGCATGCCCGTCCAGCCATTTCACAGGCTGGGTACTAAGTAGCTGGTGTATGGAAACTTCCTTATAGAGGTTCAGGCACCCAGGTCAATGCCTTCCCCCAGGAACTCTAAGTAGAGAACTAAATTCTAACCAGAGTTTGCTGTTGAAAACAGATGCCAGCGCCAGCATCCTGGGATTCCTCTTCCACCCGGGGTGCTTGGTCGGCAGTTCTCATCGGTCAGCTTGCCCGGTCCTCTGGGTCTCAGATCCCTAGCCAGCCTCAGAGAGGTAAATGTACTTTCAACTGGGTGCCTGACCACTCCCTGGAAAGTAGAGGATACTTACACACAGGCTGGCTTCTCCTCCTGCACCAAAAACCTGCAGGTTCCATGGAAGCAGAACTGAGTGTGGGAATCCGGGCAGTCGTTGAAGTGAGAGACCACAGCAGCGGCCACGGGAGAGTCTGCTGGGACGAAGAGACGTGGGTCAGACCTGGCACAGCTCACCCCAGGAGGGACTTCTGTCCCCATGCAACGCCCCCTGCGAAACTCTCACTTCCTAATGCCCAGCCAGGGCCCAGAGTCCCCATCAAGAAGTCTGGGTATTTTTCTAAGATTATAACAGAATTTCTCCAAAGGCTTTGGTACAATTCAGAGACAGCTAGTAAGAGTCATTTTTTTTTTTGCAAAGAAGCTCAATTAAAAAAACAAAACAGCCCTAATAAAATTTTGTTTGCAGCTAAGTGTGGTAGCACACACCAGTAATCCCAGCACTCAGAAGGCAGAGGCAGAAGCATCAGGAGTTCAAGGCCAACCTAATCGGTATATTGAGCTTGAGGTCAGCTGGATTCCATTGTCTAAAAACCTTTTGGGGTTAGAGAAACGCGCAGTGGGTAAAGCATTTGCTGTGCCAATGCGAGGACCCGAGTTTGAGCCCCAGCACCCCCACAAAGAGACCTTTCAGTAAGGACTGTGATTCCAGTACTGGTGCTGGGGCAGCGCTGTATGCCTCATGGCAGAATAAACAAGGATGCTCATTGGGTGGAAATATACTGCCACACACGCAGGCTGGGCTCAGCCCTCCCGCTTCCGTGTTCAGAGAGTTTCTGAAGGAGACATGGTGAGCAATGGCAGATAACCTCCTCAACGATGTCCCAAAGATCCCGCAGAAGCGCCTGCCAGCGTCCCCTGCCCTGTGCCATCACATGGAGTCCACACCATGAAGAAACTCCATGTAACGGCCTCAGTGAGGGCAGGCAACACCCATCTCTGCCCTCTGAGCATGGGGTGAGAATGAGAAGCCTGCTGCTTCGTGTGTACACTTTTGGTTCTTTGTTTTTTGAGCCTCCTGTAGCCCAGGCTGGCCTTGAATTCACTGTGTAAGTGGGCTGGCCTTGAACTCTTGATCTTCCTGCCTCCACTTCCCAAGTGCTGGCTGAAGAAGGAAGTCAAAAGATTCCTTTACCGTTTATTAACAAGCAATCACCACGATTTGGCTTCAGCCCCAGCCCACTTCTGGTCCTTCACACAGTCACCTATCTGCCTGCTGCTTAGAATGCATGCTTCCCGTCCTCTGCTGCCCTCTGTCCTCTTCAGGCCAAAGGTCTCAGAAGGGATGAAGTCCATGTTACAGCAACTAAACAGTAGTTTATTAAAAAAAAAAAAAGAAAGAACCCTCTTTCTTAATTACAGTGATACATTTTCTCTTGAAATTTTATCAGAAGCTTAGCAGACTTCTGGGTTACAAAAATAGTCCACTGAAACCACCAATATACAATAAAAACCACCTCAGAGAATAAAGCCCATGTTTAATTCTCAACCCACTGAGAATCATAAAAACACACACTGACGTACTTGTGAGCTTACGTTCCTGTTCTAAAAGTCAAGTGCAAAGCACACTGCAACTAGGAAACTGTCCTTGTGTGGGACCTGTAGAAGTGTTTGTGGCCACCAGGGACACCTCAGAGTGCACTCAGATCACAGACAAGTACGTTCCTACCAATGTTCAAAGTGGAAAGACCGGGGAGGGCTGCGCTCTGTGCCAAGTACTTAACTCATTGATGCTAAGGGCAGGCAACTGACCCAAAATGGGCCTGCCAGGGTACCATCTCCTTTGGGTGGGCGGTGACATTGCCTCTAGTTTTATCAAAGTAAGTTTATGAGGAGACCCCAAGTCCCCAATATCTTCCCCCAAGATTGGGTCTCTCAGCTTCTTTTTCTCTTTTTACTCTTTTAAATGAAAAGATGTGTGTGCATATGGACATGGCTGTAAGTGCCGGCAACAGAACCTGAGTTCTCTGGAAGAGCAGTACTGCATCTGAACCACTGAGTCACACCTCCAGCTCTTTCTCTGTCTTTTTAAGAAGGGATTATATAGCGCAGGCTGGCCCCAAATTCACATTAATCTTCCTACTTTAGTTGAGGGCTAGGATTCTAGGTGTGTGCCATCACACCTGTCCCCCCTCTTCCCCTTGCCCCCTCCCCTCTTCTCTTTCCAAAAACTCAATAAAATATCAAGAGACAGAAGGAAAGGTAGAAGAGGTGGCGTGAAGGCTACCGGGCAGCATCCAAAGGAGGGCTGTCCCTCTAGTGCACCCGGAGGGCAGGGCAGGGCTGGCCCAGTCCCTTGCCTACTCCCCTGCCCCGGGCCAGCTCGTGCAGGCACATGTCCGATTAGCTCTGGGGCTGATAGGAAAAGCAAATGTTCTGATTGGGGAGCACATCAGCACCAGGCACTTGGGGCAGCTGGAGTTTCAAAGCTGCTCAGTTCCTGTTGTTGTGAAGTTGATGAGAGGCCCCTACATCCTGGAGACCGGCTGCTCATCTTGCAGACATCACTGTTCTCTGGGGAAGCTGGGAAAGAGACCACAGACCCACTAATAGGGCCTCGAGCCCGGCCCAGCTCACAGAAAGAGTCTGGAATAGTAATCAGGGGAGGAGGAAATCCCTGCTTCAATCCACAGGGGGTTCAGAAGTCTGGGCAGACACCATCTGCACAGTGTCTTTGGGAGTTGGAAAGGGGGAGCTCCAGGGTTGCAGCAGCCACACCCCTGAGTTGTCTTGAGGAGCAGCCCTAATTGGCCTGTGTGTCTGGCTGCTGGGGGCTTATGCGGCTGTGACTCTTCACTTTTCCCCAGATGTAGCCTTTGCCAGTTGTGAAGCTGACATCATTTATAGCTCTTTCAACACTTCCTCTAATAGCCCAAGTAACTTTCCGACAGTTTCAACCTGACATCTACAGGACCGTCTGGCCAAGGCTAGTGGTCAGAGGCAACAATAGCAGAACTGACTACTGCTTCTTGAATGTCTGGGAGGAAAGATAAGTGAATGAATATGAGAGTCCCCAGCAGCTCCCAGCATAGCCAGGGGAAAGCAGACACCAGAAGGGCGCCCCCTGCAGGGCTAGACAAGTATTTCACCCTGAGGCCAGGCCGGAGGCCCTGTGGTCAGGGAGGCTGGGTTCAGGACAGCCGACATGACTACAGGGCTGGAACTCTTTGTTCAGGACATGATGTGGTCACAAGTAAAGGAACAGTAGAAGTCTTCCCCAGAGGCAAGAAGTGCCACATTGGGGTTAGGGGAAGAAGTGCCATGCTGGGGTTAGGGGTGAATGGCCCAGGTCACCTGGACCTGACTACATGTCCCCCTTGATGAGTGGGGCACTTGGGGGTGGGTGAGATCAAGCCTTTGCTTTTGAGACAGGATCCCACTCTAGCCAGGTTGACTTCAACCTCATGACAATCCTCCTGCCTCAGTCCTTTGAGTGCTGGGATTATAGGCCACGAGTCACCATGCCCAGCTCAGTGGGACTCTACGAATGACCCTGAAGAGGAAGGATGCCACTGGCACGGTGTGGCCATACCACTGACCTTTACCAGACAGAGGAGCATCTTTTCCAGGAAGACAGCCAGTGAGGGCCACTCCTGCAAGACGGCAGGCAGGCCTCAAGGGAGCCAAAACAGCCATCAGAGGATGAAAAGGCGATCATGTCACGTCTGTTGCTGAGGTTGGTAATGTGTCTTCTTCTCAGACTCTGCCAACTGACAGAGGGAGGCCTGGGGTTCTCTGTGCACTGACAGACCTCCTTTACTTGAATGATAAAATGGGCCAGTGAGGTGGCTCAGCTGGTAAAGGTGCTTGCTGCCAAACCCAAAGACCTGAGTTGGGTCCCCAGGACCCACATGATGAGAGGGGAGTCCTCTGACCTGCACACATGTGCTGTGGTACACACTTCCCCATACACACCCATATAATAAATAAATAAATGTAAAGGTAACTGTGCTTCCTATAACTAGAACAGGACACAGATGTTCTAGATCTTTCAGCATTCTTTTCCTGCACTGGCGATTTCAACCCTGCTTGGATCCATCAGTTCCCTGTCTCTAAACTGACTTTAGGGCACCTGCCAGGTCCTATACTCTCATTGAAGAGAAAGGGGCTCTTCATTATTTTGCCAGACCTTGTACCACTCTATAGCCTGTGGCTAGAGTCTTTCAGATGCAGAAACCAGCATTCAGGTAAGCTTCCAGATAGAAGGTGCTAGAACTAGACACTTAGCTTGTTTTTCTCTGGCTTTGAGCAAATGAAAAGCTGTAGGAAGTCAGGATGCTGCCCAAGTCTGGGATGGCAAACGCTGAGAGGTGTATGATCAAAATCAACAATTCCCCGTGTGCATCCGGGAAGGGCATGCTAACAGAAGCAGCTCCTAGCAGAAGGGATACTTTTAGGAGAAAGGAGAGGGAATTCTGCTGTTCAGAAGAGGAGGAAACTGAGATGGTGATTTCTCATTCCCCAAGGGAGCAGTAGCCACGACCATACACAGGTGCAAAAGAGATTTCTAGATGCATAAGTAATGGTTCACTGAGGAGTACCTGGTGTGTGCTGGGGGTCACATCCATGACATGGAATCTGCCCACCACTCAACATCTGTGCAGCATGGCACTCATGCCTAAGAGACCTGGAGCTTCTGGTTCAGGGCAGGGCTTGGGTGGAGCCAGAATGCTTCCTGAAGCTTAAAGCAAGACCCTGGGGGCACCGCAGGGAACAGCTGGGCCAATTAGATTTCCCTCGCTCATTTCTAGTTCAAGGCAAACCCTGAGATATATGACTGAACCAAGTTCAAAGATGAGTGCCCTCTTCTACTGTCCTACAAAGATGCTGGCTACTTGGGCCCATCATCAGCCGTAGGAAATCAGACACATAGTCAAGGAGTCACCGTCCCTGGCGACACCACACCTGGGAGGGGCTCCCCTGCTGTGCTTACTTTAAAGTTAGAGGCAGAGTTGGCATCAAGTTGGAAGCCTCTTTCTATCTCAAGAAGACAACTGGAGCACAGACATGCCTTGCCAGGACTGTGTTGTAGCTGAGATACCTGAGCTTACAGTTTTAACCCAGTTGGATTTTCTGAGGCTGGGCTATGATGGTGATAGCTAATATTAGTAACAGTAGTCATTAGTGGATTGTC